CGGAGTCGAGCGTGCCGGATGAGCACAAATGTGGCGCAGCGTGGTCATGAGAGTCGGACATATTTTACGCACATTTTTATGTCCTAGCTATGATCATGTATATTTATTCAGTTATGTATGCATGTTATGTATTCGTATTTCAGATGCTTCTGCTAGCCAGTTTTCTAGACAGTGCGAGACAGTACAGACTATGCATGTTTAATTCCATTATCCACAGCGGATAGCTTGGTTGCATGTTTTATATATGTCTGTGAGCCAGTTAAGTTAAGTTTTTATCTGTGACATCCCGCAATAAGTCAGTACTTTCGAAAACCAAGCTCGCACGTTCTTTCGAAAATAAAAACAAAAATTTTACTCTGATTTTTAAAGCTAGTACGGTGGGGTGCACACAACATGATCTACCGACCTAAGGTCTATATTGTATTCGCCGACCTAAGGTCAGGACTGAAGTGCGAATTTCGGTGCGTCATTTAGCTCGGATATAAACAAATGTGTAATCGTAATGCATTTTATATGAATTATATATATATTTTTTTATTATTTCTTTCCATAGCTCTGTGCATTTGCACGGGTAACTGTACTAATATATTTGTAAGCATTTGAAATCAAATGAACGAATATAATCCTAAACATGATATTTGTATACAAATTAATTACATATGTCTATATGGATATATGTTTTCTTAATCTTATCAAACATTATAATAAATCAACAATAAGACTTGAGATTCTACACGTGACCAAAGAATTGTCTTCATTTATATAACTAAAATTTAATTTCTAATAGCTTTATTCATGTGACAAATTATCCTTAAACAATATATTTAGATTTTTTATATATCTTTTGTGTATATTTATTTGTTTTAATTTTATCTTCTTAGTATATATAATGATTTGATTAATATATGATTAATAAATGTAGATATATAAATTCCAATTATAGTTATTAATATTATAATTTTCAGTTATGTACTTGAGCATAAACTTTATAGTTTTCCTATCTGTATTTAAGTTAATACTTAATTAGATGTTTAAAATGTTTTAGACAAATTGGATAGTTTTTTATTTTATATAAATAGTTATTATATGAAGTATATAATTTTTAGCTTTCACTTGTTGTAGATATTTTAACGAAGTACGCACTCTGATCACCGCGCACCATCGCATGCGGCAGAACCCTTTGGATAATGAAACGCCCACACCGGCAACGACACGCGGCAGCGACACGACGACCAGCCCGAGCGTACGGCAGCATCCAGGAGACCCGATTTTCCTAGCAACGCATCGCAACAGTCTGGTCCACGCACGTGGCAACCGACGAGTCATGGCGACAGCTCGGCGGCGCATGGCAGATCCACCCAGTGATTGGCGTACACGACAAGACGTGGCTAGAAACAAGGCGACAGGACGAAAGTTAGACGAGAAGTCAAAACCATTCATTAGTTGATCTTTGACTAATGAATTAATTTCTAGTATATCTCAGATGTATTGAATGGACCTACAGAGGTGGGGGGAAATATTATTTTATACTGATTAAGTAAATAATTTAGACCTCAGTAATTGATGCGTTATCATAATTCGTAAGACAATAAACGGGTGATACTTATTTTGTTAGGTTGAATTACATGGTATTTTGGTCAGTAATGTTGTTTACATGATTTGCCATTAAGATTTCTTACGACCACTGTGTCCCAGTGCACTGGGTTGATGACGTCTTCGAAATGAGCTCATGAAAGATTATTAAGTTAAGCCCTGCAGGCGGATTACTTTCCGATATAATAATAATGAACTTAGTGGTACTAGTTTCACATATAGAAATTGATTGAATATATAGTCAGTAATTAAATCAATTAACGGACGTTAGATCTTAAAAATGGAGGGATAATTCGAGAATTTAGCCGGGAGACGACTTAGTTGTAATTCAGAACTAAATGTAGAGTGCAATAATATTACTATAGTGGAATGTTCTATTATTCAAGTCTGAACGCAAAGTCGGGCTAGTCCTATTACTTCTTTTCACACTTGGGAGCCTATATTTAGCACCTCCTTAGGATCCCTCTTGTAGCCTATAAGTACAAAATGGAAAGAAGAAAACGGAAAGGACAACCAAACGAAACCGCTAACACCGAATCCCAAAGCCTCACACACATAATTACACACGCGAGGTCTGTCATTCTTGAGAGAATTCGTGAGTTCTTGGAGAGGTTTGGGAGTTCCGTTTAGTCGCACCACCAAGACTACTTGGAGAAAGAGTAGAGTTCATATAACAGAAGATCGTAAGGTCTTGCTTTTGCATCCCAACTAATATATATTTATCAGGCCTTGTCCAATCAATACGAAACTAGGAGAGGATGATAATCGGCGACGCCCCGCACAATGCATCGCACGCACGCTAGCATCCTACCATAGTGAGATCGCAGCTGCCGCTCCTCAGCACTCAGCAGCAACCACCACATTTTCTCAATATTGTTGGGATATATGAGGATCTCGTTATGTACAAGTCATGAATTCAATAGCAAACGTAAACCTATGCGCAACGGATCTAAAGGTTTGATGTAGAAAACTTTCGACTTAAAGTTTTCTAAATCTGACGGATTCGGGATGACCGAGAGCAGCACGTCATGTCGCGGGATCGCCAGAGTCACGGGATTGGGATCGCGTGGAGGAGACGAGGTCACAGCGTCGTCGGGTTGCGATGCGGAGGTCGCCGGTGGCTAACAAATCGTCGTGCGGGGCTGGCCGGGTTGCGGGATTGTCTCGGGCTCGGCTTCTCGTTGTGGCGGTGATTACTCAAACACCTATTCAACTCGTATCGGTGGAACAACGAGAAGAAGATAAATCTCGAATGATATATATATATATATATATATATAGAGAGAGAGAGAGAGAGAGCGTGGGGCGTGCGTGTATAATTTACGTATAGGCTCTTCTGTTCTCTTCTCATGAGCTTAATGATGTATATATAGAGCTACAGTAGGGATCCTTAGGAGAATAGGAATAGTGCTTCTTAAGTAATGGAATAACTGTAGGCCAAGCCCACTCCTCCAATTACTTAAATAATATTACGTTCTACTAACGTAATAGTATTGCACTCCATTTTCCTATCCTAAATTACATTTGAGACTCCAATAATAATAAAACCGAATTACCTCCCCATATTTAAGATATAATGTCCATTAATTAATTCGATTACTGATAATCAAGAATTAATTAATATATTATATTACCAAAGTTAGTGCTCGTTTATCTCATTATTATTATGTCGGGACTTAATCCACCTGCAGGTAGACATGTCAAAACGGGCTGGCGGGGCGGGCCAGCCCGCAGCCTGCCGAAACCCGCCATTTGGCGGGACGGGGCGGCCTGCCATCCTGACGGGCCTTGTAAATGCCAGCTCGGCCCACCTCCCCCACGGGCCATGGGCTAGACGGGCTGACACGTCCAAAAAAAAGAAAAAACAAGGCTTAATTGCAAATAAAACCACTACCTTTAAGCTTTTTGCATTTTAAACTCAACCTTAAGGTAATTGCAAACAAATCACAACCTTTTTCAATTTTTGCAACCCGAACCCAAAGTTTATCGGCAGCGAGTTCCGTGCCTACGTGTCCGGCAGGCTGTCTCACGTGTCCTCAGGCTTCGCTGACGAGGATTCCACAGTGTCACACACACTCAAATAAAAATGCATATAATTCATTTATTCCCTATTTTAAACCCTAATCACCCAATTGTATTTGAGAATCACAATTTCCTCTATAAAATTAGGGCAGAACACCGTTTCAATTTTCCGCGATTCATCACAATACAAAGAACGTCTCAATTTTTTTCCAGATGTTTTGGTAATTGCCGCGATTCATGGAAAAGGAATTGCCGCCAGTTGTTCGCGATTTTCGTGCATCGGCAATGGGAAAAAAACAGGTAGATCCAAATTTCGTATTCTTTAATCACATATGCCGGCCCCAAATTCGTGCTGCAATTTTTTAATTTTATTGTCGGCCCCATGTGTTCATGTTTGCCCTTGTTGTTCGACAGCAAACAATGGCAGAATAATATTTTTATGTTTGACTTCATGATAAATTAGGGTTTCTTTAGAATCTTCATATATCTTATATTAGGGTTTTGTGTGAAATCTGGTTTCCATGTGAATTCATGATTTTTTTTATTAATATTAGGGTTAATATGAAATTAGGGTTGTATTGCAACTAGGGTTATCACAAAATTAGGGTTTTTTGTATTTTAGGGATTTTTAGTTATTTGAAGTTTTATTTAAAATTGAATTTATTTATGAGTTATGTCTATGATATGGGATTGATTATATCCCTATGTTTGATTGCAGTGAAAAATTTTCCCTTTTCTTCAACTATGGTGGTACATTTATCAAGATTAGAGATTCAACTGAATACTTTGGTGGGAATTTCAAGTCTGTGTATGGCTTAGACACTGATAGGTTTGGATACTTTGATTTGGTAGAAGAAGTAGAGAAGCTGGGAGTTAAGGGGTTTGATAAAATAATGTATCAAGATCCAGAGAAGCTGGGATATGCTGGTATGAAAGAGATAGTGGATGACAATGGTGTTATGGAGATGATCAACACTGGCCATAAGCTTAGATCTGTAATGCAGATTTATGTTGCTGCTAGTAATAAGGATGATGGTGATGGTGTTAATGTTGTTCATAATGCATCTGAAGGGAGTAACTCCGCAAACAGATTGGTAGAGGGTGATGGTGATGTGAATGTTGGAGATAATGCAACTGGAGATGAACACCCATATTCTGATGCAAATATAGATGATGATGATGATGATGATGATGCAAATGAAGGAGATAAAGAGTTGGAGGTGGAGTGCTAGCAGATGTGGTTATGTGCTTTGATGAGGATAGTGATGATGAATTTCCCAGTGGGTGTTAACTCATCAGATGATGATCTGACTGATGAGGAACATGCTTCTGATGATGATGAATACCTTGAGGCTAGATAAAATTTGAGAAAATGTAAAAACAAGATGGTTGAAGAAGATGGTGGAGCAAACAATACATTCCCAGATTGTCTGCCTCAAATGGACTTGGATGGGTGTGAAGTGCTACATCATGCTCTCATATCTGAGGAGTCGAGTAGTGAAATGGAGATGCATGATGAGGGAAATTGCATTAAAAGGAAGCTGAGGGTAATCTATGATCCTAGGTGTGATCATAATGCTCTTCAGTTTGAGCTTGGTATGAGATTTGAGAGTATTGACCATTGCAAGAGAGCTGTGAGAAAGGTGGCCATTGTTCAAGGTAGAAATATCAAAAATATGAGAACTAATAAAAGGCAGTTAAAGGTAAGATGTGAAGATGGGTGTCCTTGGAGATTATATGCAAGTGCAGTTACAAGAGATGGTACTGTTGCTGTAAAACAACTCCACAAGGAACAGAAATGCCACAGAAATGTCCACATAAGGCAAGTAACAGCTGGCTGGATTGCTGAAGAGTTTTTGGAAAAGTTTTGAAAAAATCCTAACATGAAAATTGCGCAACTAGTAGATGTAATTTCTGATAAATATGCCATTGAACCTAGCAAATGGAAGCTTTACAAAGCAAAGTGGACAGCAATGGAGATGCTTAGAGGTTCTGTGTCAGAGCATATGCTACTTTGAGGAGTTACATGTTGGCGTTGCAGAGGGTTGACAAAGAGTTTCTTTTGGGTAATCATTCTACATTTAAGGCCTTCTATGTAGGGTTTAGTGCACTGAAAAAAAGTTTTTTGACTGGGTGTAGGCCAATTTTGGGTCTTGATGGCTGCTTCTTAAAAACATTCCTTGGAGGAGCATTATTATGTGCCACAGCAAAGGATGGCAATAATCAAATTTATCATGTGACTTGGGCTGTTGTAGAAACTGAAAATGAGGAATGTTGGAGGTGGTTCATGATGATTTTGTTTTCAGAGTTAGGGATAAGAGATGGTTTGGGATACACATTTATATCAGACCAACAGAAAATAAATTATTCTCTTTCTATAATGTTTACTTCTTTTTTCTATATGTAAATTAAATTTAAACTTAATTAGTTGTCATTGTTACAGGGTCTTCTAAATGCATTGAGTGATTTGGTACCTCATGCTGAGCATAAGAATTGTGCTCGGCACTGGAAGAAAAGCTTCAAGGGTAAAGGTTTGAAGTTTATTTTCTGGAGGATTGTGCTTAGCACTCATATGGGTGACTACAACATTGCACTGGGATATTTGAAGGCTGAAGTTCCAGATGTCTATGAGGACTTCATTGCCAGAGATCCATCTAAATTCTGTAAGGCATTTGTTTCTCCATTACCTAGGTGTGACATGATAGAGAACAATGTCAGTGAGACATTTAATGGCTTCATTGTCAAAGGTAGAGGGCAACATATTATTGAAATTCTTGAATTTGTGAGGAGTGAGTTGATGAAAAGACAACATGGGAACTTATGGGACATAACTGGAGTACCATGTGTACATGCTTGCTCAGCCATACATTTTCAGCACAAGGAGCCAACAGACTTTGTTTCAGAATACTACTCTGTTGAGAGGTACTTGATGATGTACAACAACTCCTTGGAGCCACTCAACGGAAAGAAGTTGTGGCCAGTGGCAGAAGGCTACCTAATCAAACCACCCCCTTTCAAGAAAATTCCAGGTAGACCTAAGAAAAAGAGAAGAAGATCTCCAGAGGAAGAGTTGAGATGTGGAACTAAGTTGAGAAGGTTTGGTATAACTATGACTTGTCAAAGGTGTTTCCAGAAGGGACATAACAAGAAGTCTTGTACTAATCCCCAAGTTGAAAAACCTCCTAAGGTATTATAACTGATTATGCTATAATTGATTTTCAACTGATTATGCTATAACTGATTTTAAATTACAATTGTTAATAGAATCCAAGAGGGAGGCCAAAGAAAAATCCAGGACCACAATCAACCCAATAGGAAGTTGTTGAAGCTGGGAGTCAGAATGTTGCTGCAACTACTCAGAGGAGAAAGAAACTACCTGTTAGGAGAGAGATGCCCACAGAAGATGCCTCTTTGATACAATAAGAACGAGCCTTGAATCATATACAAACTTGTTTATGTGACAAGTTTTGTTTCTTTTTTTTTTCTTTTCTTTTTATTCAATTAACTTGTACTCATGTACTTGGTTTGGTTATATTCAGGCTAGGAAAGGATATGGTATTTTACAGTCTGAAGAAACAGGGAATACTTATATGAGGGTATGTTTTACATAGTTATTGTCGTTCATATTACTGATAAATTAGTTGCAGTTGTGACTATTGCAGCTGTCTTTCTCTTATGTGAATACTTATGTGATGGTATTTGGTCATTTCTTAAATTTTCTTTTGTATGTGACTCTTGCAGTTGTCTTCTGAAAGAAGGGTGCATCTCATTCCTAGAAAGGATGCAAGTGGGTCAAGAAGCAAAGCAAGTGGATCAGGAAGCCAAGGTACTAGGAAAAGCAAAAGAGTTGAAAGTAGGAGTTCAAGAAGGAGTTCAAGACTGAAAGCAAGTGAACCAATCTTGGGTACTCAAGAAAGTTCTTCACACAAAGGATGATTGATTTTCCTGTTTGAACAAGTCTATGTATTTGGATAAGATTGTGTAATGGTGGTTCTGTGTGTTTTGGGGTTTTGGTTATGAAGATGGTTTAAGAACAATACTGTGACCATGGTTTGGGGATTTTGTTGTTTGAAATGATGCCAAACATTATTCAGCTTGCAGGTTGCCTATGTAATGAATATCATATCATGATATGAAACAACAATTGGTCTTTTGACAAAATGAGGCTGTGCATTTGTTAATTTTTTTTATCTGCTGCTGGTTGTGTTGTGTTGTGTTGTGTTCTGATCAACAAAATGAGGGTTATGGAATGACTGAAACCTGTGGCATTACCTCTCTTGGAGTAGAAATTGCAATTTTTGGTTGTTCTATTTAGGTGGATCTGAAAGTTATAAAAGCATTCAACAAAAATTAACAAACTTACTAATTCAAACTAATCAGTGTAACTACTGCCAAAACATTATAACATTACACATAATCCATTAGTTCAACCAAAAATTATTTAAAACATACTGCTTACATTACACATAATCCATGAAATCAAGCAAAAATTGTTCGAAACATACTGCAAAAACAAACTACATTACACCTTCATTTAAGCATTTTATCATAGGATTACAGCTTCATTTCAACATCTTCATTCTCTGTCCCTTTCCATCCTCACCAAACCAACCCATAACAACAAGAAGAGCAGCTACAACCAAGCAAAAAATGAGAACATTCATCTTCTTTTCTAAGTTTTGCACATGAGTATCTATTGTGCTCTTAAGGGTCAACATGAGTTCTACATTTTTTTGAGCTACAACACCAAGCTCATTCACCCTGCTCTGAAGCTTCTCTACCATGTCAAAGTTTTCATCTTTCACATCTCCTGTATGCATTTTCTCCATGCCCAGCTTGCACCTTAGCTGTTTCTCTAAATCCTCTTTGTCTGCCTTCATTCTTAAATAACATGACTTCTGGAACTCGGGCAATGGCGGATCAATCCATTCAAACAAACCGCAATCTAATGTCTGCTACAAGATAAGTATGAGCAACAAATAGGAACAAAAAAAAAAAAAAAAAATCAAAAAAAAAAAAAAAAAATTGAAATACTCCATCAACACCACGTATTTATGTTTCTATTTGGACACCTGTAGAACCTTCTACATGGATTATCGATCATCTTCGATGTCAGGATGTCTGCCTCACCATGACGGCATTGCTTTCGGCTGTGAAGGTTCGAACTGCCATTACTCTGAGAACACTGGCTTCTGTGGGAAGAGAATGACATTTTCAGAGGTATGGGGACGAGCAACTCAATTAGGTTTGTAATTGGGAACGAGAAGCTCGATAATTGGGAGAGGAGCTCGAAATTGGGGCGAGAAGCTCGTCAATTTGGGTGATTAGGGATTAAAATAGGGAAGAATGAATTATATGCATTTCTATTTGAGTGTGTGTGACACTGTGGAATCCTCGTCAGCGAAGCCTGAGGACACGTGAGACGGCCTGTCGGACACGTAGGCACGGAACTCGCTGCCGATCAACTTTGGGTTCGGGTTGCAAAATATAAAAAAGGTTGCGATTTGGTTGCAATTACCTTAAGGTTGAGTTGAAAATGCAAAAAGCTTAAAGATTGTGGTTTTATTTGCAATTAAGCCAAAAAACAACAACAGACCCATCCTTCCCCTATTCTTCTTTGTTCTTTCTCATCCCTGCCATTTTTCCCCAATAAAAATGATATCCATCCACCAAAAATCTGAAGCACCTAACTCTCCCCCGGCTGAAGGAATCGGGAAACAATGACTCACTACCCATCTCCTCCCGACTTTCTCTCATCATCCTCCTCCGGCCATGACAACAAGGACGACGATATCCCCTCATATTTCCATCGATTAAGACAAGCCACCACACGCCGCGAACCACCCTAGATTCAGACTCGCCAAGTGCAGATCCACGGAGCCACGTGACTGTCGGAGCCCGGCGTGGAGGAACTTAGAGTCGTCACCGGAGCACGACGTGTTAGTAGACATCCCATCCTTCGTGCTCGATTCGTACGGGAAGAACAATCGGCCGATTCATCAAAAGTAAAGTGAAATGAGGGATGGAGAATGTAGACTTGGAGATGACTAATGAGGATTGGAAAAAAATTCAACTTCAAACCCTTTCTGTTGATTCAAGACTGATCAGAATTGAAAATGAAAATGGGCCTTTTAATTTGTTTATCTTTTGGGCTGAAGCCTGATTTATTTTTCGTTTTGGACTAAGTAATGAATCTATATATATATATATATATGTTTAAAAAAAAGGCAAGCCAGGCCGCGTCCCGCTAGGCCCACCTCGCCCGCTCTCCAGCGGACCTCTAATATCCCAGCCCAACCCACTCTTTGAATGGGGCGGGGCGGCTCATGAGCCTCAGCCCGTTTTGACAAGTCTACCTGCAGAGTTTAGCATAACAATCCTTCATGAACTCACTTCCGGGACATCATCAAACTAATGCACATGGTGACCGTAAATATCCTAAGCACATCATACATATAGCAATATTACCCAAGACAGTAGGACTATTGATCCAGCAAACTGAACCTCACCCAAGTGAATCAAATTAATAAGTATTGCATGAATATGTCTATTGAATATCTTACGGGTTAAGAGAACACAATAATTAATCGAGGACTAGTTCGTTTACGATGATTAGTGTAAAGCGAACTTCTCCTCTCTGGAATCCGTTCAATACATAAATGTACTAGTGCAACTAATCAGTCAAGACCAATTGTACTATTAACACTACAAGCGTTCTGATGGGGTATTCATTTCCATCTAGGTTGTGAACTAATAATTTTTGTTTTGTAAGTGACTGATAAAATGATCTTTTGTTCACCCGCTAGTGAATCATTTTATCTAAGTGCAAACAACAGAACATAGAACTTGTTTAATTGAACATGATTCTCATTCATAAAGGGCAAAAGTGTAATATCATCCAAAGTCAAGCTTTAAGTATATAACACCAACAAACACCCCAGTGCAGTCGTGACCCGCACCATCCACAACACCGCAGCCGCACCGCACATAGGCAGCGCAGTCGGATGACATGTCTGAGGCATATGAAACATACATGAATTTAAACACACACATGCGGGCCACGATAGTCGAATTCAAGAGTACCTGTAAACAACACCTATTTACAATTCAAATCTACTATGTGTTGCCCATGTACACAATTAGTTCACGTATGTCACATAAGTCTCCATTTGGATAGTGCACAAAGACGAATTAGCATGTGCTCTGATACCGGTTGTTGGGTTCTATAAGGAGCGTCATCGATGTGCACATCCAAATTTATTAAAAATAAATCCTAACGCAACAGAATCTATAGTTAGGATCAGGACTTACGGTTTAAAATTTGTCGATTTTGAGACGACTTACACAACCTACATGGCTAGACAAATAGTTCTGAGTCTCATCCTTTAGCCCACATGTTTTTAAGTACGTCCTCGCTGAATCACCGAGTCAGATCTCCAATCATCACTAGAGAAGCCGAGTCGAGTTGTCGATCGTCATTGAAGTTGCCGAGTTAGATCGCCCGCGTCGCTACTGCATAGTCACGGGGTGCTGGGGGTGCATGCGATCGCGCTGGGCGTTGGAGTGCATGTTGTCACAACGTGTCGTGGGCGTCTGCGTGTGGTGCGCGACATGATATGTTGCGTGCTTGCGGCGCCCCGATGCACTGGGGCAAGGCGCGGTCGCCGAGAGCTGCGACTGGGAGCGGTGGCTGAACGCGGATGGGCGGTGGTGCAATGGTCACGCCGGCGTGCTCGGTTGTCTCCGATGATCGTGTTCTCCAAGTTTGGTGACCGTCAAAAAAATCTTGGGGATATATTTATTCACTGCGATATAAACAAAAAACTTCTAGGTTTTCTGTTGTATGAAATTTACACCTTCTCCGAATAGTTTTGGTGTTGTGACTAATCATAACTCCCGAATCTCACAAAATCTCACGAATTTTTTCTCGATTCTTATGCCTCTTGAATTTTTGATTTCCTACACAAGAAATAAGACCTTATGCGTGTGGATTATGAGAAAGAGGCTTAGTATTTTATGTACTTATAGGATACAACAGTGACACTAAAGAGGTGCAAAATATGGACTTCCAAGTGTGAACGCAACTATGGGCCTAGCCCAACTTGTGTTTTCACTTCAACACTAATCATTCCACTGGAGAAAAATTATCGCACTCTCCATTTAGATCCAAATTACAATTAATTTGTCTCCCGACTAATTGCTCGATTTACCTCCTCATGTTTACGATCTAACATCCGTTGATTAATTTTATTACGAATGTTATAATTAATCAACTTCTATATACGAAACTAGCACCGCTCAGTTCTTTCTTATTATGTCGAAAACTAATCCGCTTGCAGGGCTTAACATAATAATTCTTCATGAGCTCATTCTGGGGACGTCATCAACCCGACAGACTGGGACATAGTGATCGTAAACAATGTTAACGACGCATCATGCAATCAACATCACTTACCAAAGACCGAGTCTGTCAACCTAACAGAATAGGTCTCACCCATGATAAATCAAATAAGCAAATGCTGAATATATATACTCGTTTATTGTCTGACGGGTTAAGAGAACGCAACGATTACTGAGGTCTAGATTATCAGTATAAAATAGCCTCATCCTCCTGTAAGTTCGTTCAATACATCAGGTTTGTACTAGTGTAATTCGTTAGTCAAATACCAACTATCTCGAAAATCACACTACAACATTTCACAACAATCCGTTCAATTTTATCTGGGCTGTGAAAAATATCCATCTTTTACAAATAATAGGATCATTCTTTCGACATAGTGTGGCGTCGTCTAAGCCAAGATCGTCAGTTCCTTTCTTCTTCGCCTTTATATTCACTTTCAGATTTCATCTTCTTGGTGTCCAAGGCGACTGACGAAGGGGGTTGAAGAAAAGCAGGTTCTTTAAACCATTACAGATTCTTTTTCCTTCTTTTATTGGACCAAAGGCGCGATGTAATTGCCCTAAAAGTGTTGCTAATTGGATAGACCGAATACGTAGAGCGCGCATTGGTACCCTATGCAGCCCTAAAATCGGGTCAAGTTATACTTGTTCAAGCAGACATTTGGGGCAGTATAAGTGATCAGGGAGAAGTAACTCATATCACGGGAGGAAACTTCGTATAGAACCATATTATCTACAATGTAAAATAAGAGAACCATGCTTGCATAAATGAATAAACTGCAAACACACCTTTAACTAAAATAGGAATCTCATTCAAAATGGTATTGTCAAAAATTGAAAACCGAACTTGTAAAATATACCCTAACACAGTACTCGTGACAGATCTAATATCCGATCATACACATTAGAGATATATTTAGGTCGATCTGGTACAGGATCACACACATTTTTTGT